CCGGTCTCACACCGGAGCCGGGTCGGGGTGGGGGGACTTCGCTTACGGGGCAACAGCGAAGCCCGGGCCCGGCCGCGGATACCTCGAGGTGTGCTCGAAAATGATTGTTTTTTGGGGGGTGGGGTAGGGTGGGGTGGGGGGAGAGCTTATTAGCCTTGGTTTTCCCTAATTTAAACCCTACCGCAGGGCTTCTGAGCCCTGCCATAGGGGATTTTCTGTTGACTGCAACTGAGTTTTTTATGCTCAGAATTGCGTGTCATGGCATTTTTAATGCTTGATGTCAGAGGTGATAGATGGCCATGGTAATGGGGAGCCCCTGAAGCACCTGCTGGGCTGATGGTGGTGGAGCTGTATCTGGCGTGGAACGCGAGAAATTAAACAGAGATCCTATTTGGATAATCTGAAGTTATCAAGTTTCTGTTCAAGTATACCAGTTCTAGAACAAGTTGATAAATTCAGTTTTAGGACTTTGTGACAGAACAGGTTTTATTCAGTGCAGAGAGACCCCGAGTGACCTGGTTTGGCTAAGGTTGTTTGGGGTAGCCTAAGTGTCTCTTAGCATTTCCCCTTCGCGTGTTCGTTTTCTTGCTGTCACAAATGCTCAAGTACATGAATGATTCCAGGATAGGAAAAAAGTAGGGGACAGTATTTAGCAGAGTCCAGAGACAAAGATTGAGATGTTTTCAAATGAACAAATGTGTAGGAAGGGAAAGGAAAATCTTTTTACCTGCAAGGTTGGTAGGTTGGGAGATCTTGTACTTTGAGAACTGTAAGTCCATACTAATATTTCATTTTGTGTAATGCCATAGATGATCATAGATGCCATGCCTAAGGTTTGTGTGATTTGAATTTTCATAAATCATATTTTAACCAAAGCATTACTCCATAAAGGAATCCTAGGGTGGGTCTTTCTATGAATCAATCCCTCAGTGTCTTGGATTTTGATATTTGTAGTTTATTTAAGATGGAATAGACATATTTACTTGGACTCAGGTTTTCTTTGGAAATAATCCTGAGTCATGCCTTGGAGAAGTTCCTTCTGTGATCAGAAGAAGCTCAGGTATCTAGGAGTCTTTATAAAAGCTGGATGTGCCCCTTTACCTGTAGTTCTTCCTTCTGGAGCGCCAGGGAAAGAAGGACCTGGGGAGCTCGTAAGTAAATTAAGAGGACTTCCCATATTCACCCTGTCTTCGTGCCAGTGCTCTAAATTATTTGTGTCCATACTCAAGTTTCTGAATTTACCACAGAAATTTTGTTTATATGGCCACTAGTATTTTCATGTTTGTTTAATACTTGCCAGTCTACAAATAGCTCTCTATTCATGATCTCACTTATTTTCTCCTTTCTCGCAAAGCAGCAGCTGGGCATAAAGAGAGATTTACTTGGGGTCTCATAATAGTAATGGAGCAGAATTTGGATACAGATCGTCCTCACTCCTAATCTTCTGTTTCCTCTGCACTTGGCCTGCATGTGTCTTCAGAACTTTAGTCCTCATCTGTTACCCTGTAGGTCATTTGTTGCCTTTGTGTTATGCCTAACTGGTATTACTGCTTTGGGGAAGATGGTATTATCTTGTTTTATCTTGTGGAAACTGAGGGTAAGAGGAGTTTAATGATTTTGTGACTATTTATGACAGCTCTTTAGTATTAAGGTCACTTTAAAATTTAGAGAACCTTTCTTCTAGACAACATGGAGAGAGGAGAGAGAAAAAAAATTAGTTTCAGAAAAAAAACCAATCCATTTCTTTAGTGGCATATGGTTAAGAATAACCTGCGATCATGATCACATTCTCCTTGTGCCCCTGGCTACTTGTGCCAGCCTGTAGGTGAATGTTAACCCAAAGACTCCTTTAGATGTTGCTGAACTAGTTACTATAAAAAATATTTCACTTTCAAACTTCCACATTTCAAGAACAGAGAAATTCAGTACAAAGGTAATTTGAAGGTATGTATAGATGGAATTTATTGAGCCTTCTTTTCTGAATGCCAGACACAAAGATTTCCATAGAAAGGCAGGTTTTTATTATTTATTCAAGTTTGGAGATATGTGTATTGCAATGTATAGGTTGTTATGTAGGAATAGAAATTTTGCCCCAGAGAATTCTTAGTCTTGGTCTGTAGCAGAAATGATAAACCCAGAATATTTGTGTTAATAAGTTAGTTCATTTTTAACCAGAAGGCCTGTAATTGCAATTCTACAGTGGTGGAGAGAATGGCTTTCAGGGTTCTTGGCTTAGTCTTTAAGGTTTTAACTTGTTGAATTGTGTATTTTTCAGATTTGTTACTTTAGAAAATTCTTAGGTTCTTTTAAGGCTTTTATAAATTCTTTAGTGTTTTCCTTAAATTAATTATCTGCTAACAGAATTCATACATTAGTCACAACCTTTGAAGCTTAAATGTGGGTAAATTTTCAGTGGTGCTTTATATTCTTTGGGAATTGTCAGCCAGTTTCCACAAGAATTTTATTTGGGCCAAAGGTCAGATTTTTTCAGGTAAACTAATTTCACAGAGTCTGAAGCCTTTCTTTGAACTTTATAATTGTGCTTGGTTGCAGCCACTGTTTAAAATGATCTTTAGTACAGCAGCTCACTTTAAAGGAAATTTTTTTCATTGTTACCCTCTTAATCTCCATTCTCGGCAATTTTTTCTGAAATATTAGATTTTTCTTTGTTTTCATCAAATAAAATAGGCCCATTCAATGCCCATTTCAAGACCTTCTTTCTGCTGCCTGTTTTGTGGTCATTTAACTTCTCATTAAGCCCTCCACTGGAGACCGTGCCAGAAAGAAGAGAAGATGAAAAGCAAATAAATCATTTTCTAATTGTTAGCTGCTCTGGAAAATGATTTAGAAGAGATTGAAGCTATTCCAGAAATTCTTTTGGATTATGTTCTGTTTCATTCATCTGCATTATCTCTGAGATGTTCCTGGTAGATGCTGATTATCAAGCTATTGCATGACCAAGAATCTTGCTGCTTTTTTTTGGTTTGTTTCTTGCCGTTTCTAAGCATTCCCATAGAGGATGTTTAGAATGAGGAGTAGTGATAAAACTTAAATTAATACTATTTTTTTCTCTCAGTGAACAATTAGATTTTTTGGATAGTTAAGTCATTGTTATTGTATAGTAACTTTGTTTTATTTTGATGTTGGGAGGCTTTGGGGTGTTTTTTAAGAAACATGGGCTTATATATTCCCATAATTGCTTTCCTGAATTATTAAGCTTGAGGTTTCATTACATCTTTGTACTAGAACAGAACCTTGGCTTTTGCTGTGGAACAGATTCAGGGGCATCATCTAATTTTCCTTTTATGATTGCTCAAGAAGTTATCTTGTTATGATTTAGCAGCTACAAAGGAAAACAAATAATAGTGGAGAGACCTTGCCTAACAGCTGTAACATTGATGTCTGATTTTTTTGCTTGTTGTTGGTCCCCCATTTCTCATTTAACCATTGGATATTCATTTATTGGAGTTCTTTACTTCACTTAAAAGACAGGACAGCAGCCTTCGATCACACAAGTGAGTAGGTTCTTTCTATTTTGCTTCAGGGGAATTTTTACAAACCCATTATGACTGCTCACTTAGACTGAGTTACTGTTAAATTTGTAAGTAAATTCTTAGTAGGTGGATAGGGTTAATAGAGAGCTGTAGAGAGTCTAAAGTTAATCCTTTAAGTTTCTTGTTTCTTGGATTCTGTTCTTTTGATTTCCACCCAAGGAGAGGATTTATGGAAAGATCTAGACTAGGAGTCAGAAAACCCAAGTTCTTATTCTGTTACTTTCCAGCTGTGGGACTTTGAGCAAGTCACTTAATATGCTGTTTCTCTATTTTGCATCTCTAAAATGGGTACAGTAATTCATGCTCTGCTTACTGTATCAGGAATGTTTTGTGTGTTCGGCGGGGGAAGGCTCCCTCCCCCTTTTACTTAAATTGTTTCTTCATTCTAGCATCCCTTCTCAGGTTGTCCAATATTCCTGCAGAGTTCTACTGAGCAGGTTTTTCGTAGAAGTCTTCCATTTTTCCATTTGGAATTGTTCTTACTCTTTCTTCTGGAAGGCCTCTTCCAGTCTATGTATTATATAGCACTTTTGAATTCTGTTTTGTACTTCAGTTGTTGCATGTTGCCTTTCTAGTTAGATAGAAAGCTCTGTGAGGGCAAGGATTGTACCTTTCCTGTTTCGGTGTGTACACGTTGCACATAATGTTTATTGACCTACAGTAAATGTTGGTTGACTGAGTTATATTTAAGGCTATCAGGAATGAATACTTTGAGTGATGAGAAAATACCAAAGATGAGCATCTTACCAGAATTTTTGGATGATAGGCCTTTTAAATTGCTCAGTTACTGATAGTCCGTTATATCAGTAACTGAATCAGCTCCTCATAATACAGATTGGTAAACCCTGTGTCTTGGTTTGCTTGACTTCAAATACTGTTTGTGAAGCAAGTCAGAGGAATGAAAAATTGTCACAACAGTCTAGAATTTGACATTTGTTCCATTTCTCACCCTAAAGCATGTGGAGGCCTATCTATATCCAGTTGCTGAGTGTAGAGAATAAAAACTGCACGTTGTCTGGTCCACGTTTTAGCTTGTTTGCTTTGAAGAATTTTTGAGGTGGAGAAATAGATGCTTCAGGCTCTGATTTCAGCCCATGCTGTGCTATGCAAATGTTCTCTACATGCCTGAGTGACCTTTTGAGAAAGAGCCTTTGTGATCTTCTGTAGCCAGGGCCTGTTCTGGGAATAGTGTGCCAGATTCCTCTAAAATTGGGAAAAGTGAATCTATTCAAAGACCACATAAAAAAGCGCATGCTTTTCCTGAATAAATACTGATATGTCCATGTATCTTACTGTCTCTTGCCAGATTTTAAAATTTGCTCTGCAGTTTGCTTTGCTGGTTGATTTGGGGAATGATGTGTGTGAGAGGGAACTGACTAAAGCAATTCAGTAGCTGGGAAACTGTTTGTTTAAATGATTTTGAATTGTAGGTAAAATAAATTCAAACTGGCATCATTAAGTATCTGGGTGTTTATCAGTGTCCTCAGGCTGGCTCTTCTTAACTGCTGGCTGAATGACTCCTAAACAGATTAGTAAGGTTCTTTTTGCCTTAAATTGTGCTCTAATGGTTTGGCATTTAAATAGTTTTCTATTTGTTTTGATTATTGTATAAAATGAAATATATCATTAAAAGTATAATTAAATACCATTCTGATGTATTTCTCTTGGAAAGTGATGCTGGTGTTTTGAGCTGAGATGTATAGTTTTTATTGCTTTTACTGAGATGTTTGGTTTGTATAGCTTAAATACTGGTGAAAAAATTTTTTTCGTTTCTCTTAAACCTTTTTGATAGAGATCATCATAGATTTGTACAAGGATAAAGTTGTAGAGTTAATCATAATGTTCTATAGAAAATCTAAAAATTGAATTTTCAGAGAAGATAGGTAGAATTTGAATGACCAGTTTACTTACTGGGTGATAATTTTCCCTGGAAAGATTAGCTAGCTACACCTTGGAAAAAGCTACACATCGCGGGAAGGATAGAGAACTCATAGAAAGTCCTGGAGAAATGCTTTCTTCCCCAGATCTTTGTCCTGTAGCAGGTTTTAATTGAGCAAAGATGAGTCCTTGTCTGGTGTTTTGCCTGCTTTTTAGGGTGGAGAAATCTTTCTTTTTGTAGTTACATGTGCTGTCATGTCTTTTTCTCCTCCCCAAGTTTCCCTGGAACCTGGGCTCCCCAAGACGCAGCGCTGGAGCAGATGGATAATGGAGACTGGGGCTATATGGTGAGATGCTTTTGCAGATGCATTTTGAAGGCCGGCAAAATTTTTGTGTCTTTCCCCCTTCATTATGTATTCTTAGGTATAATATAGCTTGTAAGGCTGGCAGTTATAAATTGGTGCAACTTATCCTTAGTTTAGATGTATTTTGGGTTGTTTTGTTTTGCTTCGTGTTTTTTATGTAAGCAAACTCAATATGGACCCTCCAAGTAACTTTTTATAATCACTTATTTGAGCAAGATCACGATTTTTTGGCCTTTAAAGTTTATTGTTCTTAAAACTCTTCCTTCATAGATTAGCGACTATGAAAAGGGTCTAGCATATAATTTTCTTGTGGTTAGGGAGGTTAGCCAATGAGAAGGTGCCACTTCTCCCATTTGCACTTTTTTTGAGTGTGTGTGTGTTCCTGTTTTTCTTTTCCTTTGGTAAGAAATATTTTACTTGCCTAGTACCTGAAGTCTATCTATCTGTCTTCATTTTTTTTTCTTAAATATGATTTCTGAAGCGTAAGGTATATATTATTTGAGAAGCTTGCTTTTCAAAACTAAAGGCCAAATTTGCAACATTAATGTTACAAAAGTGAATACACTATCAGATTTTGAAATCTGAAAGCTGCTGTTAGCCTTTGGGTATTGTGTCGACCAACTATGTATTTTAACTTAGTATGTGGCACTATTATTACCACGAAAAAGTTATGAAGATTAGATCTATACAATTTTTTATCTAAAAATAACTTTCATGATCCCCCCCTTTTTGAGGGGAAAAAACAAAAGAAATATTGAAAATACATGTTGTGATTTTATCAAATAAGATTTTTTTGCCTATTTATGTCAAATTGAATTAAAAATGAAAGTCTCTTTTTTTTTTAAAATCAGAAGCTTAGTTTATTTTAGTTTGGCCTTTGTCTTACCATTATATACTCTCACCAAAAACTTCTCCTTAGATACTGGGCCTTTGGAAATCATGCCCTTGTTTTTTAGTTTTAAAGAATTGGATTTATCCCTTTTTCCCCTAATGAAAGCGAATGTTAGATCCCTTTGTCTAGGTGGGTTTACCACTGAAAGTAAAGCTATTTTGCATAATAGGATTGCTAAATACGTTATAACCCAAAGGAAACTTTTGCTTTGCTTGTTACTCTTAATTTTCTTAACTTGTCAAAGTGAGGATTTAAAAAATTTCAGATGACTAATCATGTTTTAAAAAATTTCAGATGACTGACCCAGTCACGTTAAATGTAGGTGGACACTTGTACACAACGTCTCTCACTACATTGACGCGCTACCCGGATTCTATGCTTGGAGCTATGTTTGGGGGGGACTTCCCCACAGCTCGAGACCCTCAAGGCAACTACTTCATTGATCGAGATGGACCTCTTTTCCGATATGTCCTCAACTTCTTGAGAACTTCAGAGTTGACCTTACCCCTGGATTTTAAGGAATTTGATCTGCTTCGGAAAGAAGCAGATTTTTATCAAATCGAGCCCTTAATTCAGTGTCTCAATGACCCTAAGCCTTTGTATCCTATGGATACTTTTGAAGAAGTTGTGGAGCTATCTAGTACTCGGAAGCTTTCGAAGTACTCCAATCCAGTAGCTGTCATCATAACCCAATTAACCATCACCACCAAGGTCCATTCTTTACTAGAAGGCATCTCAAACTATTTTACAAAGTGGAATAAGCACATGATGGACACCAGGGACTGCCAGGTTTCCTTTACTTTTGGACCCTGTGATTATCACCAGGAAGTTTCTCTTCGGGTCCACCTGATGGAATACATTACAAAACAAGGCTTCACGATCCGCAACACTCGAGTGCATCACATGAGTGAGCGGGCTAATGAGAACACAGTGGAGCACAACTGGACTTTCTGTAGGCTGGCCCGGAAGACGGATGACTGATCTGCAACCCTGGGAGAAGTTCCTGGAAACTGTCTCCAGGAGATGGAAGATGATTTTTTTTTTTTTAAATCACAGTGTGGGTTTTCTTTTTTTTTTTTTTATTTGTATTTATTTGAAGGCGTTGAGAACCAGAAGGAAGTTTTGTGCTTTAGGAGACTCCTCTGTTTTGTTCCCTTCTCCCTGAGTATGCATGTGCCTGTTCAGAGCCTCCAGATACCTTTTTTATAAAAAGAAGTCTGAAAATCATTATGGTATATAATCTACCCTTAACAGAGCTTTTTTTTTTTTTTTATTACAGTGCTAAAATGATTTCTGATTTAATGGTCCCTAACTCAACTAGAAGGCTAAAAATGCAGGAATGAAAGAATAAACAGAGTACTCATAATGCCTTTGAGAAAAATCAAAACATCATGTTGGGTGACCTAGTTTCCAAACCAATAACCAGTATTGTAATATTAAAGAAAAACTGTTCCAATCATTTAAAAGTACTTGTTAAGTGCTGCTTTTTACAGTTATGACAACTGTTTCTTTCTATGCATATAAATCAAGCAACCAAATATCTGTAGCCATGGAAATGTCTGACTAGAAATATTTATATTGGATTCTGAATACAAAATGTCCCTGTGGTAGAAATCTTACTTCTTATGCCTGGTGGAGTGTAATTCCCAAGTGTACTGTCTACCGGGGGAAAAAAAAACTAATAAAAAATGAAATACAAAAATTAGGTTTGTATTTATTATTGTTACTTAATGTGGAAAATCATTTTATGTCTAAAGTATGCATTGCTTGTTTTATGGACCAATATATACTGCCTACAGCACATTTGTATTTGATTCAAGAGGACTCAGTGGAACCCTAGGATGCAGTTTATAGAACTCTACTGTGTTATTAAAGCAGGAATAGATGAGATTATTAATGTTGTCTAAAAGAGTGCAATTTGAACAGTGAACATACAGTTTGACAACTTTTTTCAAATACGACATAAGTTGAAGATTAAAGATTTTCCTTTAATAAGCCACCAGTTGTCACCAGTTGTTAATGAGACCCTTATCCTAGCTTTGTGCACAGGGACAAACTGGCTCTTTAGTTATTTTATTCTCGTATATTATGGTGACCCAGTAATGTATTTTATTATTAAAGTTAAGTTTATTTCCGAGAAGAAATATACTGCCGTGAATGAAGGATCTGGAAAAGTTGGAGATATGTGTACTTTTGTTTCACTGTAGTCTTATTTTGCAAAGTTCATTTGATTCCATTTCTTGGAAGTTACTGGAAGGATTGATTATGTTAACTATAGTGAGACTTCTTACTTTGCTAAAATACCTTATATAAGGAAGTCTCATAATTTTTTTTTTCCCATTCAGTGAGAGGAGAGTTCTGAGGCTGTGTGCCCTGTGGCAGATCACTCCTCTCCTCCTCTCTGTGAGAAGATTCTGAGATTCTGTCTCTGAAATGTCTTCATCCATTTTTGCCCATGTCTCTCTGAAAATTTAAGATCTGACATGTGATCACCATTTAGAAATTACCTCATTTTCACCATATTCAAACTAACATTTCTTAATGTTATTGGCAGGTTGCTGTGTTTTCAGTAAATATACTAGCATGAGGTTATCTTTTTAGAAAATTGTCTCCTACTTCAAATTGATTAGTGGTTACCTAAGAAAAAACCAACCCAGCCACTTACGTGTTGTCAAGTTAGCTGAGGTGAAATGAGATAAAATGATTTGGTTTGAAAAAAGGTATGGAAAGGGGAATAATATTAGCTCTAACAGGTTTTAAAAGTTAAAAACTTATGAGGTCTCTTCCTTGTCCAGTTTACTGGGGATAAGTTTGCTTTGGTAAATTTTCTCAGATTTATTAATTTTTAAACAACTATACGATTATATGAATAAATTAGAAAAAGTAGCGAGCTGAGATATTTTGCAGTTTAATTAGTCTGATGGCACTTAATTTTGAGTGTTTCTATGCTTAGGCAGCTAAAAATAATACAAAAAGTGTAGCTTGATTATATTTGGGTAATTTGAGACAAGTATGTCTTTTGTGAAAGTTTAAATAATTTTCTGTGGAAGAGTTGAGTTTTAAAAAATTGATACTTCGTTGTATTCTTAGGGCTCTATGTTTTATTTAGATTACACTAAGTATAGGCACTTCTGGAGAAGGATTGTGTGTGTGCACATGTGTGTGTGTCCTTTTAAACTTTTGGAGAAATGTGTGCTATAGACACAAGTGATAACTAATGAGTTTATTGGCTTTTACTAGATCTAAAGCAGAACCTTGGCATTTAACAAAATAGATGCTACAAGTGGATAATGCTACTGTGTTTTTTTTGTGGGAAATTTCAAACATTCAGAAGAGAGAAGAAATAAACACCCATGTACCCACTGACAAACATCAATGACTATTCACTCCCCCCTTTTCTTCCCATAGTTTATTTTGAAGTAAATCACAGGTATTTCATTCACTTCAGACTGTCTCTAAAAGATAATGACTCTTAAAAAAATACAAACATATGTACTTAATAATTTTAATTATATATGCCATACTAGCATTATCACAGATTAGAGCTTCTTGAATGCTGTTGCTTATTTCATAGCTTGGATCTCCAGCTTTGTAATAGAGGTCTTATATATTTCTCATAGGCAGGGTTCCCCTGTTTGTAGAAAGAAGTACATTATTAAGACAATGTTTCTGACAGGAATAATGACTTTTACTTTCAAATTAAGTTTTTAGTTTCAGAAGTTAACATTACATAAGATTCTTAATTTTAAAAATTCATTTTGTGTGAACATATGGAGAAACATTTTTCCAAAGGGCATCCTTCGTTTTCTCATGCAGATTTTAAATTGTGGATGCAGGTGGCCAATTAAAAAACAATTACTTGCTTTTGGAATTTAATAAAAATAAAAGGCTTGACTCGTTGAGGCTCTTTGAAATTGAACATTAATCATAAAGCCAAGGCAGAATCAGGTAAGCAATATTCTATGTCAGAATAGGATATCTTCATTATTTTCTAAGGTAGTGTCTTTTTTATTTTATTAGTTTCACATGTACAGTACATTGGTTAGACATTTATATAGTTTATAAATGATCCCCCTGATTGCTCTTTCTCTCCTCTGGCCGTACACCTCACCATTACATTAGTGCTAACTGCATTCTCTATGCCGTGCTCCCCAAATCAGTGACTATCAACTACTAATTTGTACTTCTTTAACCCCTCCCCTCTGACCGTCATCAGGTTGTCCTCTATATTTGTGAGTCTGTTTTTGATTAGTTTGTTCTTTTTGTTTCTTAGTAATGTCTTGATTCATTCCTTCACAGCCCTAGCCTCATCTTTTATAATATTTACTTGTTTATTTACTTTTTTGCCTGTCTAGTCTAAAATTGTAAGCTCCTTGAAGACAGTGTCTATGACTCTTATTCTCCACTGTATCCTTAGTATCTAGAATAGTTTCTGGCATATAACATGCTCAATAAATATTTGTTGAATGATTGAACAAGTGAATGAATCAGTAGATGTGTTTAACACATCTAGCAATTACTTGGACAAACTTTTACAATAGAATAATTGAGAGGGAAATAGAATTCTTGTCTTGAAATTATCTGCAGTGTTTTCTCCATTGCTTGCATCTATCGGGTATCACTTATATATGAGTTCACGTCAACAGCCTTTTGCAGCTCACTTTGGAAAAACTGGCTTCAAATAGCATCCAGATCAGAGAAAAAGCCTACAAACAGACCCCATGGCTAGAGTAAACCATGGGGGATTGTATCATCCTGTCTAGGGATAAAGCTCAACACTTACTTGCCCAAATGGAGAGAGACTGTGTTATGATTCATAGCACCTTTCTTTTGGTAGAAAATGCCAGTGAAATATATTCCCATTTGTACTTTTATGTCTGCAAGACATGTTTTAATGTAGCTGTTTTAATTTATTGAAATACCTGTAGTGTAGCTCTAGTGCAGATGAAAAATATCTCATTGGATTTTCAAAATTACAGCAGATTAGAAAACTACACTTTTAAAAGTGCTATTTTAGTGGTCTCTATAGGATCCAGAAATGTAAGATTATGTGGCTATATATTAACAGTCAACCCAGTGTCATTTTAACTAACTGGAAACAATTTTCCAAGGTCATTTATAATCTCACTTCCTAAATTGCATGAAAGAGCCCCATTGCTGTACTTGTCACCTTTTTAGCAAGGTAATGTAAGCTAGGGTGGCAAGAGTCTACAGCATTGTGTATGCAGCAGTTTCCTTGTCTCACTGGTAGATCATAAAACCTTCCTCATTTGTCCCGTATATGGAAAGTGTCTACTCTGATAGATCCTGGAATTAGGAAGATAAAGACTCCATCCTTGTTCACAGTCAAGTGGCAAGAGAAAGAAAAGTGAATGGATTGAGGTGCAGCGTTTTACTGAACCTGTTGATACTGTGGGTCAGCCATACCCCTCATTTAGATAAACCTGCCTTCATATAGTATCCAGATTAAATTCTTTTAAAATAAAGATTAGTAACAAAGTAAAAAGAATGCCCCCTGTATGCTTTAGTGAGGATGAGTCAGGAGAACTGATATGTTTCCTGTGTTGCTAATAAAACAGGTTTGAGTTAGATTACGTCAGCATTTCCTGATAGGTGTTACAGTAGGGTAGGTTCCTCTCTCTGGAGCACCAAAAGGCATACATTTATCTTGAGATCACAGGAGCTAATCTGGAGTGGGAGGACTGCTGCAGTTTTATGCCAGGATTTAAATGTTAGAAAGTAAAGAGATCTAATCATTAGAAAAAGTAAAACAGCGGAATTAGTTTACTGTACTAACCAATAAATGTATTATGCCTTCTTTAGCAAGTCGTTTATATTTCCTGGTTTAATTAAAAAAATGCCTTCCTAGAGACAAGGAATGACCGATATAGACTGGCCATCTATGGGGGTAACTGGTTGTTACAACTTTAGATAATGTTAAATTAAGCTGTGAGGTATGACAGGATACAAAATGTTAAGAGCAAGTCTAACACCATGGTAAGTGTGAATGAAAGCCTGAGAGTTGTCAATCTGATGAGGTGTTAAGACACCTTTTCTGAAATTTGACCTAAGAGGTAAAAGAGTAAGCGTCACCATTTGAGTAACATTTACATTATAGAATTTAAAATAATCTGTTGTGTACTATAGTCTATCTTTGTTTTGAACATCTGTATCAACTCTGCTATTAAACATTCATTCCCCAAATTCTAAATACAGGGCTTATTTCTTTACTCCAGTCAATGTACTCATCAACATTCATAACTTTTCCTAGTGAGGTTCATAGCAGAGAGTCTGGGACCTTGGCCCCAGACTGTTAGGAATTGATGAGTCCTCCCCGTCCCCCGCAGGAGTGTTATGGTATTCCCTTCTTGGACTGCTGGGGATCTTTTCTCTATAACTCTTGTCATTGTCATTTATATGGCTATATCCCACCCTAATCCCCTGCCCAGCTTCTTATCTCCTCTGAACAGAGTTAAGAGGCTGAAAATAAGATGGAGTGTGATTTATCTTCTTATTTTTGTTACTTAAAAGCCAGTTTGCTATTATGTGTGTATACCCTTGGGTGTGTCAAACCATGATTTAGAGCTTGGGTCTTCCTTCTAATTCCCTTTATCAAATTCCAAGCAATGCATTTTGCTGATTAAACTCAGAGTTCCTGCCAGGCAACAGCCCTGCTCTTGGTTTCTTTTATGTATTCTCAAAATACTTTAAACAGACATGCTATGCCAAGCGATTTCTAATCTAATGGGAATCAATTAAAATGGGAAAACATGGAGGTGTATTCACTGCTTGTTCTCCGCTCTTTCATAATTTATAATTGTGTTCTACTCAACTACCTGAGCATTGGTTGGTGACTTCTGAGCCCAATGGAACAGCCGTTCATAGACATTTCCATCATAACAGCCAAGTGCTGAATTTAAACACTGATCGGTGAAGTCGAAAGCATCAGTTAACAAGATGGCATCTTTCCTGAGAGAAAAAAACAAGAGTTTGCGCGTATTTTAAATTGCTTTTATGAATCTGACTAATCTGGGATGGTGAATAACACCACCTAATTAGAGGTTGTGTCAATATTCACTTTTTGAACAACCCAGCTTTAATTTTTTTTAAAGTTTTTATTTTTGATTAGTTATATATACACAGCATAAAGAGTCAAATAATTCCTTAACGTGTGTTATTTAAAGTCAGCATATCCTTGTCTTTCACCTCCATTTCTTAACTGCACCCCCCCATCCCAGAGGCAGTTTGTATCAGTCTTTTAACTGATATTCTTGGTTTTTACCAGAATGTCTAAATAGCTTTTCTGTATTGCTACTTCTTGATCGTTCAGTTTTAGATATTATAGAAGTGGTATAAGGTGATTTTTATATAGGGCTGTTTATAATTCTTTGACCTTACTCTCCATTATAAAAGATGAGGATTTATTTTTAGCAGCCTTCTCTCCACCCCTACCTATCAACCCCCCACCCCAACCTATTCTTTCTTCCCTTCACCTTCCTACCTCCCCATATAGTTACAATTTCGGCCAGACTAATATCCAGTGCTTGCATTATCATGGCTGTACGTATCCTATGTAGTTTTATGACTTTATGTATTCTGTTTACAGCCTAGCCAGGTCCCCACCACATCTCTCCTGTTACAATGACCTACTTCCAGGCTCACTGTTCTCTCTCCAACACTCCTGTCATTAATTCTTAGCGATTTCACTATCTATGGAGACCTTCCTCTAAAATTTAACTTTTCAGATCCTTGAATCTTCTCTTTTATTGACTTTGTTCTACTGCTTCCCTCTGTCACCTTCCACTAAGATCACGCACCAAGACTTGTCATCAATGTGCAACTTCTCCATCTTAGCCATGTTTCTTTCCCCATCTCCTATCTTTCTAGCTTATTCCCTCTAGTATTCTGACTTCTATAATTCTTTTTCCCTTTCATGCTACAAAATGTTTTTTAACCTAATGAAATATTTTTTAAAAAATGTTCACATGCTTCCCTTTTTAGCAAAGGCTATAAAACATATACAACTGTTTGTTTACATTCTTACCTAATCCATGTTTCACAAAGCATTTGAGGTGACTGGGATACTTTCCTTGTTTTAATCCTGGTTGGATAACTCTTTATCATAGTTATAAGGTGATTTTTATATAGGGCTGTTTATAATTCTTTGACCTTCCTGCCACCTAAATAATGTCCCTCATCCCCGTTGTGGTCTCACGTCCCACCTTATCCAGCTGAAATTTTATGGTCCATTATATTCACTTCCTTGGAAATATAGTCAACAATTTTTCTTGCTTTGTCATACTTGTTTAGCAAAACCCCATTCCTTGTTATCTTTGATTTTTCACTGACTTTGTACCCTCACCTTTGTAGCTATATATGGCTGGAAAAACCAATACTGACTGGGATATTAAGGGCTCAAGTGGGCCCTTATTGTTGCCCAGCAATCATATTACATTGCTTGAGTTCATTTACTCTTTTATTCTTAGATAATCATTTCACACCTTCCCTTCAATTCTCAAATCTATACTCCTCACCTCCCCATTACTCTTACCTAGATAACTTTGCTTCCTGTTTCACTGATAAAATAGAAGTGGTAAGAACATTTCCACAAGTTCCCACCCATGCCTTTATACATACAGTGCTTTTTCTCTTAATACAGGTAAACTGTTCAGGCTCCCAGCTGAAGCCAATTCTTCCTTGTCCACTAGATGCCTTCCCCTCTTGCCTACTAGAGAACAATGTTCTAGAAATTCTCCTGCCTTTCCCTTACAATGTCAAAATTCTCCTCTCTACTGGATCATTTCCATCGGTCTACAAACATGCTATTGTTTCTCCCATCTTAAAAAACAAGCTTTTGACTCTCCCTCTCCATCTTCGACTCCATATCTTGGCTCCCCTTTATGACAAAACCTCTTGAAAGTGTTATGCTTGTTTATGCTGCTATTTCTAGTTCTTTGGACTGTTCTTCTGAACTAGATCTGTTCAGGTTTTCAGTCCCACTACTCCACTGAAAGGTCATGGTCAGGGTCACCTCATCATCATCTTTGGAGGGTCTGAAGACTCAGTACTTGGGCTTCTTCCCTTCATATATTCCTGGTATCATTCTTCTCATGGCTTTAAATACCAACCATATGCCAGTGACTTTCAAATTTATCTCTCCAGTCTCACGTGCTTACTAATATCTTAGTTGATTTCTAACATGCTCTTCAAACAATGTGTTCAAAACCAATGATCTTCTAGAAAAGACCGCCTGTTCATCCTACTGAAAACTTGCCCTCCTGTAGTCTTCCCCATTTATAGAAAATGACAACTCTGTGCTAGCGAAAACCCTGAACTCATCTCTGTCTCTTACACCCTATACCTAATCTGTCAGCAGATCCTGTTTTATCCTCATTTTCAAAATGCCTCCAAACTTTTACCACTTCCTACCACCTCCAACTCTCATCCCCCTTGTCCAATCCACCATCACACCTGGATTATTGCAGCAGCCTCCTAACTGGTCTCCTTGCTTTTCACTCTTGTCCCCTTTCCCAGTCAATTCTTAATATGGCAACTGGAGTGATCCTTTAGAAATATACATTAGTTTACTTCAGATTGTGTCTGTCCTATGCTCAAATCCCTCCCATTCTCATACATAGTAACAACCAAAGTCTTAAGTCCTTGCAATGATTTATACCCCCTCCCTTGACCCCCTCAATTTTCTGAATTCTGCTCTCATTCTCCACCTTGGCCATGCCACTCCAGCCTCTGTGACCTCTTCTCTATTCTCTGGATAAACAGGCCAAGCACACTCTGGCCTGGCCACTTATTCTTTGTCTTCAGTGCTCTTTTCCCAGCCAATCACATGGCTCCCCTCACCTGCCCTGCTTTGGATCCTTCTTCAAATGTCACCCTCCATGAGAAGCCTCCTTTGACTTATTTAAAATTACACCGCACCCCCCGCCCCCCGCAACTCACCCCAGCATTCCTGATCCTCTTTCTCTGCTATCTTTTATAGTATTTATCACCATTTTACACACTGTATATTTGACTTTTCTGTCTGTGCTCGTCTCCTCTCATCTAGGCTATAAGCATTGTGGCCTTTTCAATCTGAAACTCGTATCCCTCCCTCATTTGAATAGGGTTGTCTTGAATTATTTTATTAATGATCTGCTTTCTGTTTTTTCTGTCTTCTCTTTCTACACCTGTTTTTTCAGTGATGGACAGTTAGGATCGGTCCTCTTACTATTTTAATCTTTTCTCTCCTATTTTTGTCTTTTTGCTTTCTTTCTGTGAGATTTTTATAACTTTATCTTCCAATCCTTTAATTGAGTTTTTCATTTCCACTTATTTTTTAAATTTCATAGAGCACTTATTTTTGTTCTCTGAATATTACTTTTTAAGAAATTGCATTCTCGTTTTATGGTTACGATATCTCCTTTTAACTCTTCGAAGATATTACTGATCTTTTAAAAAAGGTTTTCTCTCTGAAAATTCTCTTGTGATTTTCAAGTTGCCTCACTCTTGCTTGTTTTGGTCACTGTCTTTCATGTTAGGGGCTTTCCTCTGGTATCTGGTGATCCCCGAGTGTCTGATCATAGCTAAGAGAGGGCCATTAACTAGCTGATGAGAAATCTGAGTGTGCTTGTCAATGTGGGGTTGATTATGGGGTGAATTGGGTGGACCATTGGGGAACCCTGGCATCATTGTTTTTAGCTCTCTCTCCTTTGGGCTGGTCAGATTCTCCAGCCCAGAAGGATCCAGAATGATCATGTTATCATCTTTTTGCAGGGTACTAGCCTGGCTTCCAGTTTTCTGGGAACCAATGGGAAAAAAGGGCTGGGGGAGGTGGTCATCAGTATTTGGTCTATAAACATTTACTGCAGCCCTGTTTTCTGTAGGACAGCCTCATCCTCAACTGTGCCTGATTTCCCCTGGTTCACAGACCCTCTGTTTACCTTTCTGCCGGGGTGGGTTCAAGGAAAGTCTTAAAACTACTCAGGGAGCAGGGGATCTGGGGATCCAGTGCTTTCTAATACAGACTTTCAACCCTTCCTGTCAGTCTTTCACCCCCATTGCCAGAAGCACACAGTCCTGCTAGTTCTTGGGGTTATTTGGTGTAACTTGGTTGCTTTTCTCACTTCTGGTTTATGATTCACTTTTCTCAGGTCTGCTAAGTCGCTGTTTGTCTTTCTACTTCCAGTTTTTATGTTTCTTATGTTCTCTTTCTGTTTGTGGGTTTATGACTTGTTAAAAAAGTTTAACCCATTTGCTGATGGTTTTGTGGGGTTTCAGGAGGGAACAAAGTAAATGTAATATGTTCAATCTGCCATCTTTATCTGGAAGTCCTTCAACTGAGATTTTTGACTACTTTAAACAACTAAAAACTCTTTGGGTCAGTTAATTACCATTACACAGAGAGCTGTTTCTTAGTGTCACTTAAAATAGTATGCCATCCTTCCATCGTCATGTCAGAAATCTGAGGGCAATACTGAACAATCAAGGCAGGGAATTGTGACACAGGGCTGTTAAAAGCATGGAGTCTGTTGCATACCTAATTACCCTGCAGTAGTAGGAAAGCTACTTAGGAACCATAACATGAGTAAATCAATTTGTGCATTTGATGCCTGCATAAATTGTCTATGTGTGTCAGTGCTTTCTTGTCTTGAGTTGTAAGTTTCTAGAGCCCAGACAAGCACTTAGAAATGCTGCTGCAGATAGAAATCATGTTTCTGAGATGTTAAGGTGATCTTTCCTTTCATGTTTCACGTTTCATCACTGCCAATCAGGGATAGAACATTATTGTCTTCATGTGCTTTAAAATCCAAGGTTTTCAAAACCTTAGATACACTTGGGCTTGAATTGTGCAATATTCAAATATGCTACTAATGGTTTCTTACCACTGGATTCTCGAGTATGTTAGAGAAGGTTTAATACCTGGGGCATAATTTTATCAAATATATTTTTGATGATTTAAATGAACAAACATTTACTGACCACCAACTATCTGTGTGGTGCTTATGTGGAGTCATAAATGGTAAATAACATGTTGCATATTGTTAGAAATAAAATACTTTGGTCTAGTTTTTTAATCTCCATCATGAATATATTATTCTTTAAATTTTAATTTTTTAAAAAATTATCTGATTCTTGTTGACAATATGAACTCTTGGAGGTTCTAGGGAGAAAAGTCACACATCGTGTGTGTCACCCTCCCTCCCAATACAATAGGCATCATATTTTCTCAAAAAAGCTTGTGTTCTCAAGTTAGCCCATTTTTCGTGTTACGAACGATGGTAACTAAATTGTATTTTAATTTCTGTTCCTTCTAGTACCCTGTTTAGGTTGGGGCTTTGATTTTGATACATTTTTAAAGCAATCATTTAGATTATATGAAAGCGTCACATTAATATGTCATGATCTCAAATTGTACTGCATTAATGCTTTATTTAAAAAAGTATTTGTATTGTTTTACAAGTCAGTATATGAATTACTGGGTTTTAAAAACATTTTCATCTTGAAGTTGAGGGAGGATTAAAGTAAGTTTAGTCAACTTAGAGTTTGTTTAAGTACATTAGACAAAGACAAGGATATATTTGAAATAAACAAACAGTAGCCCAACCTTCACCTTAACATACAGCTTAAGAGTGCAAGCTCTGGGCCCCAGATTGGATTTGGCTCCTCTTCTGGCTACTCGTGTGACCTTGGGCAAGTTACTTCACTCCCCTAAGGCTGATTTCCTCCCCAGTAAAAAGGGGAGATTAATAGTATCCACTTCAAAAGGCTCTAAGGATTAAATGAGATGTATGTAAAAGCTTTTGGCACAGTGCCTGGCACACATAAGTGGTCCTTAAATATTAGCCATGATTAAGACTCATTATTATTAATACATATTCATAAGTAGGCTTTATTCAATTCCTTAGATACGATTCCTATATCCTTGACAATGTCGAAGAGTTCAACTGAGGTAGCTAGATAATTTATTTGTAGGCATTTTTATTTCTAATAGTTTTCCATTATTTTCATTAATTCATAATGCTTTATGTTGGTGTAATAATGCTAGTGTGTAAACCTCTCCAGGGCTGTTGCTACTTCTGCCAGACCCCATTTAGCAAGGTTTGGGAGCTGAAAGTTTTGGAGTTTGAAGTGAACAAAAGGTATGGGGTTATTTTCTGAAGACTGCCACTGTTTGGGGGCCAGCCACTCACCGGATGAGAGGAAGCAGGTCCAGGTAGGCTGTTCTCACCATATCTACTTGGGCCCCAGAAAGGAAGCCATCGTGGAGAAAGTCGCCCGCGTTAGACAGGATGCCATGCAAAGCGTAGAGATCACAGAGGCGCTTGAGTGCCTGTTGAACTGCTGGCTCATCTTCTAGTTTCTCCAGAGCTTCTGTAAAACTCTTCACAGAGACATAGTAGCTGTGTGCCTGTAAAGACACAAAGATGCATTAGCCTCTGATTTCTGATTCCGTAAGTTATCCTGGAACTTGGCAAGACCGTTGGAAGAAGCTTCCTGCGGCCATGGGTTTCCCAGTGGCCTGACAAGCAACTGCCTTTTCTCTTAGCTCACTATTGGTCTGACTGAGCCTTTTCGATGGTGTGTGTTGGGGGCTGGTAGGTTTTGGAACTTGGCCTTCAGTTTCCTCATTTTGTTTGGGGCAATTTCAAGTATGTTTGAAAATAGAAAGAATACAGAAATATTGGAGGCTGGCTTGGGGATTGTGGAAGACGGCACCTCTTTTCTCAAGAAAATGGCTATTTATTGTCTACCATGTTCAAGGCAATGGTGTGTGTGTGTGTGTGTGTGCACATGCATGTGTGCCTTGGGGTGAGAAAGTAGGGGTTCAAGATGTACATGAAGTGTATCCCAACTAGAGAGTAAACTTCTTGCGGTAAGCAGCGCTGTTATTTAGCCCATATGCAATAGTCTAGCTTTGTTAGTGGTCAAAATAACCTGTTGGTAAGCAAGGGACCACTGACTTCAGTCAAGTGAGAGGCCCCTGCCAGCCAGGCTCCTTCCCTGGGACCCCCTCCTCCACATAGCCCAGCAACTAAAGCATTAACGCCTTACCCAGCAGGAGGATTTCAGGACCCTGCTTCCCTTAAGCCTGAAGTCCTTTCTCATTGGTTGGTGTCCTACTGGTTAAGTTTTTTTTGTTTTTTTTGTTTTTTTTAATATTTCCCTCTCCCCAAGACAAATACACATATTATTTTTATTTGGTAGGATATATGAGTTCCATGAGGGGGAGAGAGGAAAGGAGAGCATATAAAATAGGTCACAAATGTTTATGTGCATACACGTGCCAGGATAGGGAATCTATGTGCATTATAACAATCTCCTCAGTAATGCCCACTCTGCTGGTAGTGACTTTAAGTAGTAAGGCTTGGAGTGTCTTGAAGGTTCAAAGGCAGCTACCCAGGGGGACAAGGAATGGAGGGAAGGTCATTCCAGGCAGGGGGGACTTCATATGCAAAGGGCCATCCTTTCAGGAAGCCATAAGCGATTTAATGAGGCTGAAGCACTGGGGTATAATGTGGTGATGGACACCCAGGGAAGGAAGGACTGTGAATGACAGTTTGGGATTTGATTCTGTGGGGGTCAGGGAGTCATCAAAGCCTTCAACAGGCCAGTGACCTGATCAGGCTTCTCACTTGGAAAGAATCTGCCTTTCCAAGAGAGGCCTCACGGGAGTGCTAACAACATCACTTTGCCGCCTGGACCTGGCGTGCTCACAGCCATGCTGGGTTTGCGATATTTGGATGCGGAAGAGGAGCAGATGTGCTCTGCTGCCCCTGCTGGGTCAAACAGCCCTTGGTGCTCAAACTGAACCCAGTTTGGCAAAACCGGAGACTCATTTTTTTCACCTAGTCTTTCCTTCCCTGTTCTACCCTGAGTTCCGCATCCTTAAATTCTCGACGCCTGGGGTTGAGAAACGAATAGCTAGCTGCCTGAGGGTCTGGCCTCTTCCTTGGAAAGCAGGATGAAGACCAGAGAGAGAAGGTGCCCTCTACATTTGGTGAAAGGCTGAGCTAAACCTTGGCACCATGCTCTGAACACAATGAACTTTATTTACTTTTGTGCATGTTGATTTAAATCTTGACTCCTGCCTAATTTGGGGGGTGGGGTGGGATGTATAGTATTTATATGCTAGGTGCCTCTCTAAATTTTGCATGTATTAACTCATTTAATCTTCATAATAATCTTACGAGATAGGTATTATTATTATTAGTTTCATTATGCAGATGAGGAGCCTGAGGTGGAGTGGTTAATTTCCTCTCCAAGGTCACGTGGCTGGTAATGGTAGCAAAGAGATCCAAACCAGGGCAGTTACCTCCTAGTTAAGAGTCTGTACTTTTTTAAAAGTTTATTTCCCAATTACAGTTGACATACAGTATTGTGTTAGTTTCAGGTGTACAACATAGTGATTAGGCATTTATATATGTTATAAAGTGGTCACCCTGATAAGTCAAGTGCCCATCTGATGCCATACATAGTTATTATAACATTATTGACTGTACTCTCTATGCTGTACTTTACATCTCCATCTAGAGTTGCACTCTTGACTGCTTCCCTGCATTGTCAAAGACACCAGAGACTGAGGCTGGATTACAATGTATGCCAGCATTTGCTCCAGTGCTCCTAGGGACTGACTTCTCTCCTAGGCAGGTGCTGAGATCATAGGACCAGAGCCCATCAGGGCCTCATGGGCTCTTCCATACCTCTTTGTTTTACTGGTAGGAACGTGAAAGCCCAGAGAGGGAAGAACATTCTGAGGCCGCGTGGCAGGTCATGCACAGAGCTGGGACTAGAACTTAGGCCAGGGCTCCCTCTTCTCTGTCCACCCTCCTGCTGGTGTTCCCTGCCCCTCATGTGTTGCTGTCACTCTCCACTGCACAGTTATGATCTCCAGATGGAACCCCGTTTAGTGCTTGAGGTTTCTGTGGAGTAGACGCCTCCCAAAGCACAAAGCCCAGAAAGTGCAGATTTCCCTGCCCATCACGACTTTGGAGACTGGGCTTGGGTGCCACCTTCCTAGGAAGCCAGGGACTGCTCCCCCAGGCTGGCTGAGCTTTGGCATCCCCCAGAGCTTGGGGTTCACCTTCCTCATAATGCACAGTGGCTCCCTGACGGCATGACTTTCCTTTCCCTGACATCTTAACTATTTCCTACTTCTGGGACTCCTTTGAGTTCTGTGTTCTCATGCTTAAAGCAGAGATTATGCTCTTCCTCCCAAGGTGTTGTTATGTGTTAAATGAGGTAACCTTGGCAAGCAGTGTCTGGTCCATTTGACAGCAGGGCTTAGGATTGGAAAATGGATGCATAATGGGCAGCTATGGTTCCTTTTTTGGTAGTCTAGTGAGAGCACAGACTTGGCTCACCTTCCTCGGTGTTGCTAGGACATTTAGCACAGCAGGGAGTGCCCCTGTGGTGGACTGAGCACAACTGAGGGTGGCGAAGTCAAACTTGCACCAGCCAGTGTGATGGAAGTGTCAGGTCACCAGGTGGCGCTCATGTCCAGCCTGCCGCACCAGCCCTGCCTCAGGATGGCCATTGCAAACTCCTTCAGGGCTCTCCTATTCTGAGGCTGCCATTTTCTGGGCCTGATGCCTGATAATTGAAGTGATCACCTTGGTTTTCCAGCTGTAGGTAGGGCTAGAGTTCCAGCTACCTAAGCCAGAGCTCGGGTGTCATTCTTACTTTCCTGTACCCCCTTAATACCTCTGCATCTATCCACTTCTTTCCACGTGCTCTGCCAACTTCATGGTCAGGACTACCCTCAGCTCTCGCCCAGACTGCTGCCTGCTCCTAACTGGCCTCTAGTCTTCAATCTATTCCTCCCCCTGCAGCTTGAATGATTCTTCTAGAACGAAAATTATCACTTCACTCCCTCTGATCAAAACTGCAAAATCTTACCGTTGCAATGAAAACAAAACCCAAACTTCTCGCAGTGGCGCAGAAGGTCCCGGATCTTGCTTTTCCCCTCCCCTTCCTTTCTTCCTCTCCCTGCGTCTGTCTTTTTCCTTTAGGTCCTCCTTGGGAAGATTCACATTTCCTCCCAAGTACGATGCCTTTTCTTACCTCTTCCTTTTGCACCTGCTATTCCCAGGCCCAGAAACCTTCCTCTCCAAAGTCACAGCCTCTACCCTTTGCTTGGCTAATTTCAGCTCATCTTTGAAGTGTTGGCCTATATGCCACTTCTGGGATGCCTTTCTGACTCCTCAGCGTGGGCAGACGGGCGCCTGCTCTGGATCCTGCGTCAGCCTATACTTCCCCACCACAGTGTTTCCTAGATCGCAGCTGCGATTCGGCACTGTTGAGCCCCCAGTCCCCAGCCAGATGCCTAGTGTTGAGTGGGTGCTCAAATATTTGCCGCCTGACTGTGAATTATGCACAAACACAAAACATAGTGGAAATTGAATCAGACATCTAAGAGTTGCCTGTGGGGCTAAGGGGGAGACTTGACCTGCTTTTCTATCTGGGAGGAAATATTTGAACAACCTGAAGCAAATCCAATAACACTGCCTCATTACGTTTTTCCCTTAGAGCTGCCAGTAAGACTGCTTTAGAGTTAAATCCTTTAATTAAAATACCCTGGACTAAAGCCTTGGAAGTGAAATGAGGGCAGCCACTGAGCAGAGCTGGGGAATAATGGCAGAGCTCAGATTTTCCCAGCAGGCTAGCCTGCTGGGGAAACAAAATGGTCTCTTTCAGCTTCAGCTGATGGGCAGCTCACCTTAGCAGCCTGGAGGTGTATGACAGTGGTCTGGTTCCATGCCTCGTGCTTGTCAGCCCCAGATTGCAGCAGAGTCTGTAAATGATGCACTGAGTCCTTTATGAGTCTGAAGGCCAAAGAAAAAAAGGAAAGAGACTGATGGTGTTTAGTCCCATGCTGCCTGGGGTCCCTCAGAAGTAGAAATAATTCCCATTTATTAACCACGTCTATGCTACAAAGCTAAATGCTTGATAAACATTATCTCTTTGAGCCTTTTAAGGGCAAGCATTCCCAATTTTCGGTGGGGAAAACCGAGTTCCAAGAGAGGTTAACTGGTCCAGGTCACACAGCTAGTAATAAGTGGAGTTATTCTTAACTTTTGAGCTGTAAAGCCCAGGGCCCTGAGCCAGGCACTGCCGCCTCTTTCTAATGCAGACTCCATCCAGTGTTTTCAGGCCATTCTGTTAACAGACTTCCCGTGGCCAAGCAAGGAGAATGGTTTTTCTCTAAAGGCTGTTGAGGCCTCTCAGTTAAGTAGCCTGCTCCAAGTTCTACCTAAGGGATCTAAAAACCAACTCTTGTCCTCCAAACCACTAAATTGGTCATTTGGCATTTACTTAACCTTTGTTCTTTTATTTTCTATTCCCTGCCCATCAACTCATGACCCTTGGAATTTGTAGGCAAAGCAAACTGTTTATTAAGCAATATTTATTTAGCTTTTTCAGGGAATGGGTAAGCAGATGTCACATTGAGTTCCAAGCAAAAAGCAATATAATGGCATTTAAATTACCCTGAGCACCCTTAATTTTACCCTTCCCACCTACCCCAGCAAAAATGTTAGCTCTGTGTTAACATTTAGGCTTTTTATCAGATTGGTTTATCGATAGATCTTTAATGCTGAAAACAGTGTCTGGTGTATTGTAGGCATGTAATAAATACTCATGGAATAAATAATGTCCCAAGTTGCTTGAAATAACTATTAACCACCCCTGGGATCATGGGTTGGGATATAATACCTCTTATTATCTACTGAAAACATTTTTTTCCAGGTTGTTTTAACTGGGGAGGGGCTCAGAAGGTTTCCTTTTAAGGTAATTAAATCTCTCCATCTTTTCATGATGGAATCTGTGTTTAGTCAGGACCTCTCTTTATTCCCAGGCCCTGGTATACTTGGACATTTCTGACACAAAGTAGATGCCTGGCAATATTTGTTGAACGACGGGATGGATGAGTCTTTGGTCTTAACTTTGTTCCCTGGAGCCTACTAGACCCTGGAAATAAACTAATTCATTCCTTGATATAGTCATTTTTTTTGAAAATTATTTTTATATTGTGAGATATTTCAAACATATGAGTATTGCTTTATTTATTTATTGGTATTTACATACTGATACCTTCATGATATTTACATATGGGTATATTCTTTGTATTGCAGATCAACAAAAACCTGAAGGTTTTAAAAATTCATTCATTGGCCAGAGAGGTGATGTCCTTCTACTGGCTTGACTAGGATAGGGAAGTGATGGAGGTTCATGCCTGATTGACGTGATATCCCCTTCTCTCTGCCCATGGTGGCAGGAGCTGAGAAGACTTAGGAAGCTGGTGGAGACGGTGGTTTGGGGAAGAGTATCCTGAATGCCGACCCACTCCCAAAGGTCCTAGTTTGAGAAGAAGACTTCCTCCGGGTGGGTTGGCTGATTTCTCAAATCTGACTCACCTGACTGCCACATGTGCCCAGGCCATGGTGTAGAGCTCTGGGTGAAGGAAGTCAGCTGCCCTCTGGGCTGGGCATCTATCCAGGCCAGGTGTGATCAGGTATGCAACAGACTTTGGGAGAGACCTCTGTGATGTGGAGACTGGGGATGCCTGAACCTGCATATAGCTCTTCACCAAAAACCTGGTGGTGGGAGAGGAGGCAGGTGAGAGGCTGAGGAGCATTGTGGGACAGCCCAGCACTCCTCTCTCCCAGAGACATGCACACTTATGTCCCTGGTGGGAGAACCAGGGCCACAGAGATTCTTGACCACTTCCTCCTGATGGTCACTCCTCACTCCAAAGCACCCCACCCACCCGGACTGCCTGCTGTGAGGCTCTCAGGGAAGTGTGCCCTGAGGCTGTAGTTTCCTTCACAGTGAAACAGGGCTGGAGCTGCAGAACTGGGCAGACGTTCTCAGAACTTGAACATAAACTGCTTTGATATCTGAGCGAACAGAATCCTTTCTGTTGGTTAGGATATTGCGGTTTGGGGATTTATGATGAATTGTACAGTGACTGGAAATTAATTTTTCTTAGCTGAATAAAGAATGATGTAAGAATGCTAACATGACTGAGTGGATTACAGATGACTCTCAGCTTCTTATAATCCAGCTGTTATAGGCTCTGGATTCAGACAACCTTAGATTCCCATGCAGCTCCAAGGTGCTGCTGTAGAAGTTACTTTAACTCCCTCAGCCTCAGTTTGCCTGTCTCTAGATGGGGATGATAATACTTGCCTGATAGGAGGCTTCTGAAAACAGAATGAGGTAATATATTATATTCGTAAAGTGCTTGGCACAGTGTGGGGCACAGAAAGTCTAATACACGATACTGTATTCCTTTTGTGATTTAAAAATGAACAATGTTATATATTTTAAAAATTCCAAGAAATGTTATACAGCGTATTTGCCAGTAAACCTTTCCTTCCTGCAGGGAGAGGTATTTGCCCCACTTAGTCACCTGAGACTAGATGAAAATGAAAGTCCTTGTCAGAAACCTGAGATGGGGTAGACATAGAGAGAGGAAAAGAACACTCCTGTTGGGAGAAGGCTGGCTCAGCCATTCCTTCCTTCCTGCCCTTCAGATTGGCCCCAGGCCCTGCACTAAGCCTGGGGATATGGAGTGAGGCAGGTATCCTACCTGCCCTCAAGGAGCTCCTGTACACACACACACACACACACACACACACTTTCAGGTCGTGATTACTGCTCCAAGGAAACAGGACAGTGTTGATTGGGAAGGTCAGGGTGGTGCTTCTCTAGATGCAGTGGTCAGGGAGGGCATCTGAAGGAGGTGTCATTTTAGCCAAGACTTGAAGGATGAGAAGGAGCCATCTGCACAACAGTAAACAAGGAGCAGAGAGTTTTAGGAGGACGAAAGGGAGTGTGAAGCTCCATGGTAGGGAAGAAGAAATGTGTGGCTGGCAGAGTGAGCAGAGAGGCAAGAAGCTGTGAGAGCAGGACGGCGAGGAAGTCAGGGGCCCCATCACAGGGACCTTGGAGACCAGTGCGGAGTGTGTCATTTTCCTATGAGCAGTGGGAAGCCACTGAAGAATTTTAAGCAAAGCAAATAAGTGATCTCTAGGCTTTGAAAAGATCCCTCTGGCCGCCTGTGGAGAATGGACTGAAGCAGGTAGAGTGGGAGACCAGGACTGACGCTGTTGTCCAGGTACCAGGGGACAGCAGCCTGGCTGGGAGCTGCAGTGAGTCTGGGGAGAAGTGTATAAACTGGAGACATATTGTAGGAATTGGACAGTCTCCAAATGGCACTCCCCGAAGTCTGCTCTCTCTGTGGGCATCAGATGGATGCTTCAACCCAAGCAGAAGCGCCCCCCAGGGCCAAGTAGAGAAGGCCTCACTCTTACCTGGCCATCTGCAGGTAGAGCACTGTGTTCTCACCCTCATAGGTGCAGGAGGCTGTCACTCTGGTGACCAATGATGGTAGGCCACTCAGACTTGAGTAGCCGTGTCCACCGCAGGCCCTGCGACACAGCTCGGTCCCCTGGATACAGAAGTCTGATACCATGGCCTTTATTCCTGAGCTCAGGGCATGAAGCTGCAAGAACCAGAAGCGGGCCAGGAGGTGTAAGGGGGCCCTCCAGTGACAACCGTGCTTACCACTCATTGAGCGCCTACTCTATACTGAGCTTAACTCTGTGAGGTAAGAATTGTTTCCTCTGCTCACAACTTCATGAATGAGAAGGCTGAGACCCAGAGGGGTTATCTGACTCACCCAGGGTCACACGACGGGGCACTGTAGCTATAAGGATAATAAGAACAAAGGAAAACCCTCCAGGCCAGTGTCTCCAGGATCTCAGGAACAGGGTGCTTTCTGGTGGGTTCACCATCATCTAAGAGTTATGGACTTTGCTAGCAAGCAGAGGTTTTAGAGAGTTGGCCTGTGAAATCCACCATTAACGCACTGTCCTGGGTTGTATGCGGGGCTGCCAGGCAGCAGATCTGGCTTGAGTTTTTGGTTCCTGAAAGCTCCTTGTCATCTTCAGACTTTCAAGTCCTTGGGAGAAAGGCCATGTCCCTTAACCAATCTGTGCTTCACTTTCTTTATGTGTAAACTAGGGATATGAGGGGTGCCTTCTGTGCAATTCAGGGATTAATGAAACAATGCTTATAAAGCACAGGGCCTAGACAGACTGAACCTTACATGCAGACTTACATGCAAGTCCATAGTCCTATAGCTCAACCCCTTAGGGAGAGATGTGTTTTAGAATCAGAATATTTTTTGAATTTTAGAATGCTAAAGCAGGATATTTAAGGTAGATTATGTATAAGACCCCTAGAGGAGTCTGGGGCAGCCTTAGGGATTAAACACATAAATATTTATGCTGCAAAATGTATTCGCACTCAGTGGGATAAATCAGGTCAGTTCAGGTCAGCTGTGCCACCAAATGAATTCTAAACAGCTTTTGGTTTTCAGAGCTTTTCGGGTTTCAAATGTGCACCTGTGTTCTATATACTATGTGTGATTACTTCCTTTAATATTTTGGCACTTTCTAGGGGCCATACGGGGTGCCAGGGTACAGATCACTCTGGGTACCCTGGGATGTTGGGAGGCTGGGGAAGGGGAAAGTGGAAGGGGCCCATGGGAGCGGGACTGGGCAGGACAATTTCAGCCACCCTCCCAGCTCCTGCCCATTAGCAGACAGCAAGTACCTCAGGCAGGAGGCTGAAATCTCTGTCCAGAATGGCACTGTGGGAGTCATGGAAGAATTCCAAGATGCTGTTTGCCAGGAAATGAAATGCATAGGCTGTAGCCAGCTGAGGAAAGAGTTTCTGCTGCTGAGTCTGGTGGTCCAGGATTTTTGCTTCCAGGTCACTGAGGGGAACAAAAGTGGGAGATTTAGAAGAGGTTGCTACGTGCCATATCCACCTTCTCATTTCCCCAATTCCATAAAACTTTAAAAACTGACAGATTTTATATCTCATTACAAAACTTGACCCGAACTGACATGAGACTATAATCTTTAAAAATCCCACCTAACACGAATATCCACTCATTTCACTGCAGAAGTATTGACGTTTGCTTATGGGTTCGGCCCTTGTGAGTAAGGTGACAAAATTGCAGCATTTGTACTGTATCATCCTGCTAAAATCTGGAGATTTTTGAATTCTAACACATCAGGTCTCAAGGATTTTGGGTGAGAGGTTGTGGCCCTGTACCCCTAAAGATTTGAACCTTGACTTTTCACTACCCAGGTGCACTTGCTGTGTGCTGGGAAATGTTTTGAGCCTAATCACTAACTCTAAGGATATGAATTTAGATTCGACGGAATCCCAAGGTAGGGACCGCGTCTGCCTTATTTGTTGCTGTATCCTCAGTGCCCGAGACTTTGTCCAGCATGTAGGGCCTGCAGTAACTATTTGTGGATTGAAAGAAGGTGTGAAAGTGAGAAGCCTCCCGTGGCTGATGGGGAGAGACCCGGCCTCTATTCTTTGGGCCAGCAGCCCCTCACCTGGACATGTACTGTTGTTATACCTATGTACTATTATTCTTGGGACATTTCTGCAACCCAGAAAACTGGACTCCAGACAGGACATCATTGGCAACACCCCTGTTCTACAGAGCAGATACCCTCAGCCTGGCATTCTAAGGCCCAGACCAGCCGAGGCTGCCTTGGGTTTGCCAGAGGAAAGGACCTTGGGTTTGCCAGAGGAAAGGCTAAGGGGCCAGTTACACTTTATTATATTTTACCCTCAACACCACTCTGAAAGACCATTCCTGTCATGCCCATTCTGTAGATGGGGAAGCCAAGGGACAAAGATGTGGGATAGCTATAGCTTAAGCTCCCACAGCTAGCAGGTAGTCGAGTTGAGTGTGGCCCCTAGGTCTGCCTGGCATCCAACCCGCAGTCCATTTTGCATCTTACTCCTGGATCCTTGAACCCATAGCGTGAAACACCACCAGACTCTTGGGTTGGATGTTCTCAAGTTCCAGTCTTGGTGATGTTACTCTTTACAAGTGAGGGAACAGATCCAGAGAGGGCAAAGGACTTGCCCAGAGACACTTAGCAGAGTTGAGACAAGAGCTGTCAGGTTAAAGCCCATCCCTCAGTGCCACGAGTTCATTCAATTTTATTCTGTCTGGCTCTGTTCTTTCCTTCCTGTGTTCAAACTGTGTCACCACATGCCCAGGCTCCATTTTGCTGTATCCTGGGTATGTCCATTTGGGACATATTTATTCTAAAAACTGATGTGTTGTTTACCTGAAATTCAAATTTAGCTGGCAGTCCCGTATTTTTATTTGCTGAATTTGGCAACTCTGTGTGTGTGTGCACACATGTGCACATGTGTTCACATACACATATGAAAACAGAGAGTACAGTCAGTACTTGGTATTTGGTGCCATGGAGTGGAAGGAGTGTCAGCCGGACACAGCCATGCACAACAAAATGGATCCAGACTGGGACATACCACAGTTAGATGTTGACATTCATAGCCAAATAGAACCAATTTCAGCCAAATAGAGTCTGAGGTGACAGGTGGGCTTTGCCAGACACAATTACTCACACTCTGACAGAATAAGCTCAGGAGCCACAGTCACCTGCAGCTTGGCAACCGGCTGGCCCATACATAGCTGTACAGGACCTAGTTTAACTCAGACAGACAAACTGAGTCAGGTTTGGTGGTATAGGGCCAAAGACACACGATCACACAGAGCCTGATGGGGTCAGACACTGACAGGCACAGATTGGGCCAGCTGATAAGCTGGAGTTAGAGGGAGCCAGGTAGAGACCCCACAATGTGGCCAGATGGGCCAGGTCCAGGTAAATATTGTATATGCGTTGAGGGGTAATACGTGTTCCCAGCACCCTGTTCTGGCTGAGGGACCCTGTCGGGGGCAGGCACTGTGGGACTGAGAGGTAGTCCTGTCTGCAGTGGTCAGTTCCTGGGCACCCCTTGCCTGGGCCGGAGCTTGGACTGGCGGCGTAGGACTGAGTAGCGAATGGCGATGACGCAAGCCTTCTGCAGCACAGGGAGGATCTCATTCGACAGTATGTTTACCCGTGCCTCCACCATGGAGAAGTAGTTGCTCTGTGCTGTTCCAAGCTTGATGTAGGTGCCATCTGGCGAGACCTGGTGGACCAAGGACAGGTGCTGGGTCTGAGCCTAGGCTCCCAACCTGCCTCACACCCAGAACCGTTTGAGCCTCCATGCTCTACAGGAACTGCAGTCCTCAGACCGCTTACCCTGAGTAAACACAGCCGGCCATTGGCCAAAATGCGTTCATATGGCCATGCTGATTATTAAAACTGAAACATCTATGCTTGTTGCTAAATAGCTACTGCCTCAAGTGTCTTGGTTGACAACTCCTCGCCTGGGACACCCTGAAATTTCCCACAATCCCCAGCTACAGGTAATGCCTGGCAAAATGTGGGCCTCTAGAACTTTCTCTGGTACTTGTCTAGTGTCTCTTCAGTGATGGGTTGTGTCCAGGCCTCGCTGTAGGTAAATATGCATGTCATCCTCACCACCATCCCTCTTCTCTTCAGATTGCCTTGCCACCCCACCCCACGATTGTTCTGCCACCTGATGAGGTGGTCAAGTGACTTGATCAAGATCACGCAGCTCCTAAGCTGGATTTTTACCTGGCTCTGTGGGACACCTGAATCTTTCTGGGGGAGAAATTGTCTCAAACTCAGCTCTATGGAAGAGGACCCAGAGCCAGCAGCAGCCTGTGGGGGGTCAGTGTCCCCTCTCCAGGCAGCGGAGGCCTGTAGCCTCCCCAGACCTGTGCAAAGCGGCTCAGCATGTTCTCCCTGGGGACTCGCACGTGGTCCAGTTGCAGGAAGCCATTGTCCACGTGCTCCAAGTCCATCTTGGGCCCGATGTCTCCAATGGTGATTCCTAGAAGAGAATGGAGCTGGGAACATTCATCAGTCAAGTGCTTGCTGTGTGCTGGTTACCACACACATGCTCATTCCAGCTTCTTCTGAGCTTTGCAGTGGCCTGTGACACTGAGGTTATTTTATACCTGTTTCGCAGGTGACCAAGCTAAGGTCAGACAGGTGCTGACTGTTGCTCAAGATCAGCCAGCGAGTTAGCACCAGGTCTGTCTAACTAGGCTCCTCTCTGCCCAAGGGTGACATGTCCCAGCTTTTCTCATGGACCTCTGGGGCCTCAGGACAGGGAGGCCTGGTGGGGGTGTCCTCCTGGTAGTGGTCCTAGGAGGAATAGCATGGGCTTACCTGGCAGTGGGGTGTGGTCCTGGAGGCTCCGGATGGGCACAATAAAGGCATGCATGCCCTGCTGGGCTCCCGAACAGATTAGCTGGGCCTGGACCAGGGCGTGGGTGGCCGACCGTCCCACTGAGGGCAGAGAGATGAGAGGTCCAGTGTGATCCATGGTATACGAGGACCTGGTGTGCAGAGCAGACAGGCTAACCTTCCCTAACAGGAACCTGAATGTTAGCCAGTCTGTAAAGGCTTAGGAGGACCAGTGTGGTGGCATGGGGAAGGGCAAGGCATTTCATGAGGCAGGATGAGGGTTGGTTTGCTCTGCCTGGGAGAATGTGGGTCAGGGGAGGATCACAAGGAGCCTGGAGGGCGAGGGGCATTTTTCAGGGGAGCACCATGGGGAAGGGTATGCAAGGCAGAGGGAACAGTATGCTCGGAAGCTTGTGGACCGGGTTGTCTTGGAGGCTGGGCAGTGGAGGAGGTAGCATCCAAGACACAAAAGGATGCTTGTTTAGGGTACCCTTCAACTCACATGACCTTGACTCATCCTTGGAAATGACTGGAACCATCCACAGAACTTTAATATGTCTGGCTCTAGAATTCATTGTGTTGGAGGAATTTATGGAGAGCCATTTGGTGGCTGGAGGTGCAGGGGATTCTGCCTAAGCATAGCAGCCACCCTACAATTATATAGACAAAACCCACGCGGGGTAGGAAAACTCAAGGAGGGTCTTGAGGGGACCAAAGCTGTGCACTCCCTTTGGGTGCTCTCTCCTCCAAAGGCAAAGCTTGATGAAGGTTATGGATTTTAATGAAAACAGCCCAAATGGACCAATCCGGGAAAGCTTGGCATCTATTAAAATTTCATTCTATGACAGTCTTTTTCTTTGGAATCAAGGAAACAGGATCTTTATATCAGAGATGCTGGGGTATGTATGTCAGGATGCATGGCAAGCATACTGGTCCTGCATCACAGAGAGATGTGTGCACTGCTGTCCCACTCCCCAGCTGATGGGCACCTTTGAAAAGTCACTTTTCACAGAGAGGGGGAACCTGGGAACCCCCCACTAAGAGTCAAACAAATCTAGCAGGGACTTGCTAAAGGTGCTGTGAGATAAGCGAGCTTTTCTTTTTTTCTGTCCTCAAAAACCTATTAATAAATCACTCTGCCATCAACCTAATTATAATAATATTCAGTCAATTACCATTTGTCAAAATCCAGGTGGTGCCAGACCCTGTGCTGGTGCTTTTCAGTTCTTACAGGGCAAGTATGATGAGTCTCACTTTTCAGATAAGGAAACCGAGGCTCAGAGAGTGGAGAGACTGCTCAAGGTTACTGGCCCGGAGGGGCAGAGCTGGGATGTTTGCTCTGCCTGATTTCAGAGGCTGGTTACTTTCTCCAGTTTTGACGGCAGTCATTCTCTCTCTCTCAGCACCCTCATCTCTCTCACCTCCGTCTCCCTCATTTCTCTCTCCCTCTTGCAACCTTTCTCTCTCTCTCTGCTATTTTCTCACCTCTCCCAGTGTCATTCTTTCTCTTTAGTTGGACTCCTCACATTCGCTGTACGTGTTTTTTCCTTATAAGCGTTCACAGGGCTTGGGTCCCCAAGTGTCACGGATGTGTCCCAGAAGGTGTATTCTAAAATCGAGGAGGAGGGCCTTGGTGGGACCCTCTTTGGGGCCTGGCCCATCACCAAGCCCCAGGGAAGCATGGTGTGGTCGCCACCTGGTGGCCATGGGGAGGTGAGGTGCCGGTGGCCTGATTGGCGCTGGTGGTGGGTGTGAGCCTTTCTCAGGGTCTGGAGCAGTGGGGCAGGAAGGGATGTTTTTCTCACTGTGTAAACCCAGGCCCCTGCACTCTCGCTGGTGGCAAGCCTTGGGAGATGAGAAGGACTGAGATTGTGGGGAGTGCCTGAGACTAGGCCAAGAGTGTGTGTGTTATACACACACACACACACACACACACACACACACACACAGACACACGTGTGTCTGTGTGGGAGCATTTGTGCCTCTGTCCTCATCCTCTAAAGGTTAGGTCAATTTCCTCAGCTACTTCAAAGTTTCTCAGCCACTCACTGATGAAATTCTTCACATCCCACCTATTTTACAGAGTAAGAACCTGAGGCTCAGAGAAGTGAATTAACTTGCCCAAGGTCACTAGCCTAGAACAGGGAATCAATCTGAGGTCAATCTGAACATCAAAGTCACTGATATTCTGCTATCCAGCTTTGCTCTCCCTGGGGACAGATGGGGCTGGGTGATGGAAGGATACTCACGGTCACCTGGCCACCATTTGGTGGCAGTTAGTGTGGGGCTGTGTATCACAAACTCTTGAGTGTCTGCATCATAGGTGGCTTCAGTCTCCAGGCCCTGAAGATATGTCCCTTGGAATCCAGAAGCAGAATTAGACATGGTGCTGGGGTGTGAATCCCACCTGGGGAGCAGTGTCTAGCAGGCCTGGAACTCTTAGGCACCAGCCTTGTATGCAGCCCCGTATCTCTCAGCTGGACTTACAGGCATTTCTCTCCTTTCACACATGGCCAGCCCATGACAAGGGACGGTTGATGACATTTCCGGAAAGAATGACTTGCCCCACTGCTAACTCATAACAATGTATAAATTAGAAAAAGACACCACCCTTTCCTCCAGACCCTGACTGCCACCTGCTGTAACGTTTTCATATTAAAGATACAAATCTATGACTACTGAGACAAGAACGGGCCCTCTGGAACTGTGCAGGACATTGTACGCTGCATGCAGCAGCGCTGGCTCACCATGTCCCAGTTCTGTCTGGGCGTACGTGGTGATGATCTGGAACTTTTCACAGAGTGGGGCCCATTTGGCAATCTGCTCCTCCGAGCCCAGGTTCCTGAGGGCTTTCAGGAAGATAGAGTGTAAACCTAAGCCCAGGTCTCCAGAAATGGCTCTGTGGGAGAGAGACTCTTTGGTGAGTAGCGCATTGGAGAGAAAGGCCCGGGTACTCTAAGCCTAAGCAGGATACAGGACAGAAGGGGCACCTTGAGTCCTGGTTGGGGGATAGTACTGCCTTTGTTGGGGGATAGCTCCTGGGGCTGGGGGTTCTGGGTGATCCCAGGTGAATTTCTCTCTGGTGGGGCTGCCCTGGGAGTGAGCACCTGTAAGCGTAATGTAATTCACAACCGTTTTCCAACCAGCCCAGGCGCTGTGCTAGCATCTGGACGTGGAATCTCCTCCGAACGCCGGCCTCGTAACGCTCTCTCTGGCTCATGAAATAATTTTCCTTCAGGCTAAATTCTGGGTCACTGTGGATGATGCTCTCTGCCGGGAACAGAGAATAGTGAGCTTAGAGACCTGAGTGAAGTTCCTGGCACCTTCATATCTTTCCACCCACTTGCCTCATGGATGTGGAAAGGAAGTCAGACATTACTGTCATTTTACAGATGAGATGACAGGCCCAGAGGTGGGATAGTGACTCGCTCAAGGTTACAAAGCTATGCAGTGACAGAATAAGGACCAGCATCCAGATCTTCTGCTGCCTAGGACTCTTCTTTCCCTTAGATGCGCCGTGGGAATATTGATGTGTTTAAGATGCCTTATAGTCCAAAGGAATGAATCTAGAACTGCTAAGTTTTGAGAGCAAAACTTTTTTTTTTTGTTTTTTGTTTTTGTTATTTGAAGGTAGGACTGCTAGTGAAAGACTCTTCTTCTAAGAAAAATATATGGGCACAAAGCACATGCTCCATTTCTCAACCTCCTCTTACCAACTTCCCTCCGGAGTGCAGTGTTCTGGGCACCTCCATCGAGGATGTTGGTGAGCCGTTCCACGTCGAAGGACTGCCTGCACCTCTCGCTCTCTATGTCGGGGTGCACTTGCCTGCTCCAGGTGTCCCCCATCGACACTCGGTGCACTGGGCTGCCCATCCCATCCTGGATCGGCCTGGTGTCCGAGTAGAGATACAGTTCTTTCCTTTTATTTGTGGTTTTTCTTTCCATAGTTTGTTACCTGTGGTCAACTGTGGTCTGAAAGTATTAAATGGAAAATTCCTGAAATAAACAATTTATCAGTTTTAAGTGTGCACCATTCTGAGCAGTGGGATGAAGTCCCTCAGGTCCCGCTCAGTCCTGCCCAGGACATGAATCATCTCTCTGTCTACTGTCTCCATGCTGTACATGCCACTGGCCCGTTAGTCATTTAGTAGCTGTCTCGGCTATTGGATCGATTGTTGAGGTATCACAGTGCTTGTGTTCAAGCCACCCTTATTTTACTTAATAGTGTCCCCAATGTATAGGAGTAGTGATGCTGGCAATTTGGATGCCCCAAAGAGAAGACATAAATGCTTCCTTTAAGTGAAAAGATGAGTATAGTAGAATAAGCTATTTTGGGAGAGAAAGAGCACATTCATGTAACTTTTATTACAATATATTGTAATAATTGTTCTATTTTATTATTAGTTACTGTGTTAATCTCTCACTGTGCCTAATTTAGAAATTAAACTTTATCTTAGGTATGTATGTATAGGAAAAAACATAACATACATAGGAGTCGGTATTATCGATTGTTTCAGGCACCCATGGGGGTCTTGGAACAGATCCCCCATGGATAAGGGGGTTACTGCCGTACTTCTGGCCTGGCTGCTCTGAGCCTCGAGCGGTGCTAAGAACCTGTGTGCAGGTGCCCAGGGCTAAGTGTCAGCCAGGTGGAGGAAAGCAACTGCTCTTAAATACTTGAGTACCACTCCACCCCCTGGCTCCTCTCTGTGGGCACCTGGCTGTGTGTCAGGCATTGCCTAAGTGTTGTATGCAGCAATTGCTCAGTAAATGATAGTTCAATATGTGTTAGCTAAGATTTGGACAGGATCTGATCGTAAGCTCAGCTTGTGTCACAAGCGTTGCCTGTGGAAACCATCATAAAAAGTCAATGAAGGTCACGCGAGTAGAAAATTAATCTTAGAGAGATTGAGTGTGTGGCCTCTAGCTAGACAGCTGGAGGTGGCCAGGAGTTGGATGGGGTCTGATCACAAAGCACATGCTCTGTTCGCCATGGGGGTACGGAGTTGGATGGGGTCTGATCACAAAGCACATGCTCATGCTCTGTTCGCCATGGGGGTACACGGTGTGTTTGTGTGTGTGTGTGTGTGTGTGTGTGTGTGTGTGTGTGTGTGTGGAAACTTGTGGTCCCATTTATCTAGTCCACTAAGTCCTGGCCTTTTCTGTGAGCCTGGAGCGGATACTGTGGGGTTGAGGCGAGGAAGCTTTCTCTTTGCCTGTGAAGTGTTCCCTCTGGAATCCCTGTGTGTCCACCACAGCCAAGGTGGATCCTTCACAGCAAATCCCCAGCCCCTTAGCAGCCCCTGTTCCTCTACAGCAAGGCAACCACCAGGTACAGTCAGTTCTACTTCTCCAGTCTCGAATCCATCTGCTCCTCCCATCCCCGTGCCTACCGCTCAGGCCACCACCACTTCTCTGTCCTCTGTCCTCCCGGCTGCCAGGGCGAGCTCTTAAACGGCAGTCACATTGCTTCCCTCCCTGGCTTGGAATTTTCTCTTTGGTGCCCACCCCTTGTGGAACGGAGTCTATGCCACTCTGCATCTGCTGTTTCCTGGGTGTTTCTAGTTCAGCACCAGCCTGCAGGAACCTTTCCTGTAACGATGGCACAGCCCATGGGAGAATGGAGCGCCTCTTCAGCGCTCCCATCCAGTGCTGTTAGAGTGGGCAGTAAGGAACAAGTGCTTATGTACTCGAATGTCCCTCTCCCAAGGCAGTGAGTTCCTGAGGGGTGAGGGGTGGGGTGGGGGGTGGCTGGCTCTTTACTTTCTGGGGTCCCAAGAGCAGAGCTCCCAGCATGCTGTAAGTCTCTCCTGCAGGTGTCCACTACTTTGATTCCAGTTCCTCTTCACCACAACCCTACAGATACACTGCTGTTGTTATTACTGTTTTATAAAGAGGACAGGAGCCTTGGGAAGGGAGGAGGCATTGCAAGGTCACATAGACACATGAGGGAAATGGGATTCATATGCAGACTTCCAAACTGATACCCCTGATGGAAGAGGCAAGGGAACTACACAAATTGGGTAAATATTAAACCAGGTTGTATTCAGAGGCTGCTACGTGCTGCTAGACACAGGCACCTGGCTGATCAGCCATTTGACCAGACCAAGAGGAGCCTACAGAACAGAGGAAGGTTCCTGC